CTGTATTTATACCCTGTTGTTGTTTGTGTATATTTATACAATCTTGTTGAATAAAAGTTTAATGTCAGTGGGGCTTAGTGAAAGTCAAACTCTTCTTTACCTGGGAAATGCGCCTGGAGGATATGCCGTATAGTTGTCCAAAAAGGCACCGTGCTTTGAATACCGCTGCCTTGTTCCACGGGTTTACAAGCGTCTGAGTCTGCATAACTCATCGGAAAAAAAACAAACTTCCTATTTTACACAGGGCTCGTCAGTATTCGTCGCATGTCTATGCAAATGTCACTCCCCTGTCTCATCTGTATATTTGGAAACCTTTCATATTTGTTTATCTTTCCCCCAGAAAGGACTCTTGTCTGAGGAGAACACTGACCTTTCAGATCCGCCCCAGTGACCCAACAGCAGAAGCAACCACTGTGGAGAGTTCACTGACAGACACATGGGCAATGTATGAGCTGCAGAGAGCAGCTGACCTGTGCAACCAGACAGTGATAGAAGGAGAATGTTAAGCTGCTGTTTGGCCTTATTTCTCACTCTCTCATATCCTATAGAGTTAGCTTTTAAATACACCGCAGGAATCTCTTTAATGTTACAACATTCTGAGCAGTGAGTGTACTTTTAAAACGCAAAACAATACCTTTAACCCCACACAGACACATATATACTGTATGTGTCTATACTTTTGGGAATATTATACTTCATAAGTATATTTGTGCCTCATAAGAAAATAGTTTCCTCAATCAACTGTGGGTTTATCATTGTATTATTGACACTGGTCTATCATTTTGAAGGGCTGTCCTGGACCAAAGAAATTCTTAGTGGACAAACACTCATAGGAGCTTGATAAATTGATTTAATTGACAGATGTGTAAAACTGAGTTTCTCCACAAAGAATCACGCAAAAGCATTACTTTAAATCTTGTGTTTACCAGATTTCATGTCATTCAGCATGAAAAAAGCCTAAAAATGTGACTAATCAACTAAAGAAATCTTAGTTGACGAAGACCAAAACAACAGAATAGTCAACTACATGACTAAGTGGTGGCAGCCCCAATATTTTGTTGTCATTTTCTAACTCTCTTCTTTTATAAATGTCCATTAAATGCTCATTATCTATTTCTGCTGCTTGGCAATAAAACAACAACAGACATACTTTGATAAGTAGCGTTGGATCATGGGAGTTGTTATATTCATGGTTAAACGACCACTTTTATATACGTATATCAGACTTGAATCAGGCAGAATATATGTTCATGCACCTGGTAACTAAAATATATTAAAGTTGTATTCATGTTGCGTTTTGTCACGTTTATTCACGTTATGTAATTTTATTCTAATGAAATAGTCTAAAATAACATTAGCTAACAAAATGCTAACTTGGTAGCTTACAAAACGCTTACTTGCTAGCTTAGAATTAGATGAGTCGACTGTCCACACAGCTACTGTAGCTAACGTTATGTGGCGAATTCAATTCAGTTCAAACATACAAACAATAGTCAACAGTATAATGGCGTTCTAACACTGAATTTCAAGGTTAAGCATTGCTGTGATTTTACATTAAAATAGTTTTGGAAAAATCCTTTTTAAATAACAGACAGACATTCGGCTGGCTTGAAATTCACATCTGTTATGTAGCAAACAGTAATAGGCTTATTCACACCCATCTTATGCAGCTAAACTGAATGAAAATAAAAGTAAATGTGAAAAAAATGTAAATTGGCAGAGGTACAAAATGACAATAGATTTCAGCTGACGGTTGACATTTCAGTCATTTAATTTTGAGATTGAAAATTGACACGCTGTTCTCCCTCTGTGTTATAAATTCACCAAACGAAGACATAAAGACGGTAGCTGTTCAGGTATTTTAATTGTGCTGTCAGCCTGGAGCTCAAGCTGTTCCTTCTTTTACCAGAGTTTGTCTCTGTGGGCAGGTTGGGCAACAGAGAGCCGAAACAGCAGCTACACATCAGCAGCCATATGTCACCACATCTTACCATTCCTCCCAGTTAATACGTGGTTTTTAAGGTCTGTAAGATCATGCCGATGATTTATTCCAAATACTTTTTCCTTCATGAGTTGTTCATTAAGTTCAATGTGGCTTATGAGAAGAAAGGAACAAACTGAAACAAATCCCTTTGATCTTTAGTCCTGTCAGAGACTATTTTCATTCTGAAGACAACATCCTCGCACAACATCACTGCATTAACGGCATTGAAGTCAAACTGAAATTTGAATTCTCCTCAATTTTTAAGTGAAGGCATATAAACTCTGAAAAGTGGAAAAAATATGTGTGCACAGTAGCTGCAATACCATCAAAGGAGGATATTACACTTTTTGGACATATTTGGGGAAACGTCTGCGTTTTGGGTCTCTGGAGGCGTTTCGCACGGCAGCAGCTGACTGACAATTGAGGGTCTGTGTTGCTAGGGGACATGCTGTCAACCTCCATGGTGCGCTTCTGACTGGAGCACGTCATAGCCTACTATCACTATCTATCACAAAATATGTCTTTGAACAAGCCCACATGGCGTTGGTTATAAATCGTTAACTATATCACATTTTAGGAGATACACTCCAGTGACTTCCTGTGGTAGAACTGTGAAAGACATGAAGGAACGAGTGCTTGTCATGGTTCGGTACTTTGAGAGATCTCAGTCCTTCACACATGGCATGCTTTATGTGAGGAGGATCTGGTTGTCTGGAAGTTGAGATAAGATTGGAACTTGATGATGTTCCCGACTTCCATGCACTGAAATTTAACAGCGATCAACCGTGTTATGCTTCAACTGTATATTGCTGTAAAAGCAATGCATTCTGGGAGTCATAACGCTTGGTGTCACAATCTCAACGGTCAAGTGTTTCTTTTTTACTGTAATTTACGGCTTACTACTAATTAATTACTTTTAATAACAATAATTTACTGTATTACTCCGATTCAGTAGAAATACTGTAAATTCCACAGTATCTTGCTGGTGAAACTGCTGACAGTAAAATACTGTCATTTTTTAAATACAGCATTCATGCATCCTGGGGAACACTAATGTACTGTAGGGTGCACTAAATTGAAGGAAATATATTAATGAAAACTGAATTCCTTGCTATACATGCTGAGAACATTACATGGGAAGTTTGACTGTTATTTGCTGTCAGAGGTGTTAAAATCCTATCCTATCTCTTTGACTTGCAACTAAACCTGGTGTTACATGCATAGTGTCTTTTCAAAATAAATGATTGACTTCATGGGAAGTTTAGGTTTAGGCAACAAAACCACTTAATTACAGTTAGGAAGATTGTGGGTGACGTTAACTTGACTAACGACTTATGCAACTCAGGTAAATCTCGTGACTTGTCGGAAGATGATAAATTGGTTTTCCCAACTCGTTAATGTGTCCCAGTGTACCTGCTCTGGAAAACATGGACACCCGCAGCAAACTGGTGTTTGTATGGCAAGTCTCTGAGCTTCACAAGCATCTGCCGAGGGCCTACATCAATTACCGCAGCACCAACAGCAAAGACAATTACAAATACGTTTTAAGAAGTTTTAAGACCTTAAATTCTGAAAATTAAATTCAAGACATTTCAACAATCCACGGTAAACCTGTTAAAAGACACGGCAGGAGTAATCTTGTAGCCTACCACATGCTCACAGAGACGTCTATTAGGCACATATCAACTAAATGGAAATGACAGCTGCAAATACATAAAGTAAAAATTGATGAAGAAAACATAATTCATTTTAAGGTGCACTATATGTGCCGCCATGGTGCTGTCACGTCAGGTTTGTTTGTGTCGGTGAATTCAGGCTAGATGGATTCCCGCCTTGAATGACCTCCGTGTCGGAAGTGTTTTTATTAAAGTTGAGTACAATGGATTGCAGCATAACAAATGACTCACGTGACTAACACCGACTTGACAAAATGTCAACATTCACTGTAAGTTTTACATGGGACAAGAACAGAATCTTGTTATGGACAAAAATCTTGCATCTGTTTGACCCATCAACCACCCCTAACACCCATCATGCCTGGACCAACACGCAATTTATACTACATCAGTTAATCTGAGCGTCCGATAATGACGAAGGTTTGGTCTATTCTGGCCTGGTGCCTCGCATATCGACTCTACAGTGTGCCTCTGTGCGTCGGTATCAGACACCGAGGGGCGCGGACCAAAACGAATTTGGTATTGAAGGAAAATTCAACCTAAAGGACTTTCATCTACTGTCCAAATGTAGGCAATTCAACATGCTATTTATACTATGATGTTTTCCTGCTTCCTAAATTATTTTTATTTTTATCATTTCAGTATTTCCTGTTTTATTACTCGCCACCTCTTGTTTCAGCTTCCTTGCCCTTGTGTGTTTTCCCCGTTGTTGTGATTGTCTGCCCCGCCCCTGATTGATCCCACCTGTGTCTAATCACCTGCACCTTCCCCCCAGTGTATTTAAAACCCTGGGTTCCCCCTGTCTCTGTACCAGTTTGTCTTCGGCCTCTTGTGTCAAGCGATCTTCCTCGTGTTCGTGTTCGTGTTCGTGTTCGTGTTCTTGGTTTTTCTGATCCCCACGAGTCGTACCAGATACGTTTGAAGTCCAACTTCGTTCAGTGTTTTTACTTTAAAAAATTCCCTCCGAGAGCATGAGTTCCCTCTTGCTGAGCCTCCATTGACATAAAAGCCAAATGTTCATTAAAAATCCCCGGATTTCAGCATAAAGCCCTGTTGACCGTTTCATTGTTGCTGAGGCTCATCTGATAAGGAGACAATGATTTGGGTCATTACAACAGGCTAGGCTTCCAGGTTCAACTCATTTCCAGTGAGCTAGCTTGAGCAAAATTACTTCAAATTTAGCCAACAATGAATTTGACATAGCCTCAATTTAGATAACTATCGTTTAATTTCATCCGAATCAATTTGGCTGGGCTGTACATTGTTTAGCGAGGGCTTGGCATCAGTTAATTGATTTCAGCACGTAGCCAAACAATCACATCCTAAATTGTTGTGTTTAATTGAAACAGGCACTATCTCCCCACAGAGCAAGCTTTCTCGATTTATGAAAGGAACCCAAATATGTTCTTGATACTGGTGTGTGTGTTTAATAAATAAAAGAACTATTGCTGTCAGCATATCTTGGGAGGAAAAACAAAGTCCTAAGCTTTTAATATTAAATCACAAAATGTAGAAAACATTACTTGGGGTTTGGTTGTTTATTAAGGCATCACCATCAAATTCCTTTACATTTTACAAGCAGTATCAACCGAAGTCTCCTGTTGTTCATCTGCCCTGCATTGTGTCTGCAGCAATCACTGCCAACAGTGCAACACTGAAACTCTTCCCTCAGTCAGACAAAGTGTTTCTCGCACTTGATTGATGTCTGAAATTAGAACCATCTAACCACACCAACCACAAAAAACATCCCACATCTCCGAGTTATTGTTGGCTGCTTAGGCCCAAGATGAGGCACATATCAATCACAATCAGGAGGCATCGTCACTCAGGTAATGAGTGAAAGCACCGAGGGAGCTGAAAGATGCATTTTCTAGGTTCACATGTATAGTATTAAAAGTGTTTTTATATGACATAAAAAAGTAAGAAGGTTGAGAAATGGACATTTATGAAATATTTTTAGATTGTATCTTACCAAAGCATTAGATGTATAAAATTATGAGAGTGTAGTTAATCCCTGCCTATTATTGCATAGCCGATGTATCAGTCAAAGCAAATCTAGGAGAGGAATAACAATGAAAAAATTTATTCAGCATTAAAGGTAAATTAAATTTTTGCTCTAAATATGCAGCAGGTGCACACTGTCGCTACGAGAAACTCAAACCGCTGTTTGGACACCTGGAGGTCCGAAGATTTAAGCAGTATATTATGATATATTTGTTGCTACTGAGTAATGCTAAGACCAAATACACGACTCCCTGCCTGAATACCGAAACCTCGGTCTCTGAATAGCAAAACAGAACCCGGCCCCCCTCCACCTCCCTCGCTGGCGTCAGAAAACAAACTCAAGTCTTTGGTTTGACGTTTCACTTCTCGGACTCTGGCTGTGAACGCCAGTTGTGGAAAATGTACCTTCTTATTGCCTTCCTTATACCAAAGCAGCATGTGATTGTTGATACCGTACTGTTATTGTTCACCGTGGCTTCTGAATATTGTTGCAAACGCCTCAGCGGGCCAGCTGTGACGTCTGTTGTTAAGGCTGCAGAACAACAGCATATTTTTTTTTTGCATCAGTAGGGGTCACATTGTGGTTCGATCTGATTATATGCTAATGTCTTTGTTTTGCTTGTCTTCTACATAATGTTGTAGTTCCTATTCGCAAACACATACGTATTAAAAATGAAACCATATGTTATAACAAATCCAAATGCATACATTTTTGACATCCTTCATCGACTTCATTTGATACCCTTTGGCAACATACATAAATGGCTGACAGTTAATTTTGACCGTTGCTGTGAAGATTGCCTTCAGTGATCCCTCTATTTCAACGCAATAAATCTACTTAACGCAATGCATAATCTGAAGTATCATTTGTGGTTGAAAACAGAAGACTTTCACGAACTCCTTCCCACCCACAAATGCCACTTTCAGACAGTGTTATTTACAAAAATCCACATTATAGGTTGTCTATCAAACGCCAACAAGCACAATAGGCCGACTTTCTTTCAAGGGAGTTCGTGACTTTGGTCTTGGGAGTCTGTGCAGTTTCAGCGGTGTCCTTGAAAGTTCTTCATTTGGATGTTGTCCGCTTGGAGTGCTGGGTTGTAATAGGCCGAACCATCACGTCCAAATTTCAAGTCCAAAGGGGTGCCGTTGTCTAATCTGAGAACTAGGAATCAGACAAGTTAATTAAACATTTGAACTCTTTTTGTCTGTGTAGCCTCACAATGAGATTGTATTACGCAGAAAAATATATTTTATTCGTGTTAATGCTGGATTTACAGCAAGTTTTAATCTTACTCCATGATATAAATCTAAATTATAAAAGTATATTTACAAGTAAAGAAAAAGAAATCCCCATAGATTCAAGAAGCAAGGGCTTCCTTGCTGAGCCTCCGTTTTTGAACAAACATTCAAACAAATGAATCATGCAAGGCACTTTTCTTGAATAAACCATCATCATTCCTGTTATTACATGTTTTCTTCACCTACAAATCCTGAAGGCAACAGGGTTACATCCAATTTATAGAGCATTTTGAAAGTCATTCTGGGAAAATCACTACACCTAGCCGAGGTAAGAGTAAACAAGACAGATTGAAGGTAAGTGGGTACACCAGAGTAGTGACTTACTCCTAACTACAAAATAACAACTGCAACACAGAGATGGGGAGGCTCAATGTCCTGAGAGGAAAAAGGTAATGAATCCCGACAGATTCTTTGACAGGCTGTTTAAATATATAAATATATATATTGATATTACTGTAAATGATATGGCTAAGGTGTCAGGGGGGTTAAGGTGTTGTGTGTTATACAGATTGTACAGCTCAGGGCAAATTTGTATGCCTATTTTTATTTAGTAATATTGTGATAATAAAACTGGCTTGTTTTGTATGTGTACTGTAGGTCAACATGACCTACAGTACATAGGCAGAAGCCTCAGGAATCCGTCTTTTGTGTGCAGTTGGGTGTTGGCGACAAAACTATTTAGTTAGGAATCTGACTCGCATACTTGTATGTGCTTCAAAAGAAAAACAAACTCATGGTTCATTTCAGTCGGACCATAACAGGTTAAGTTTGAGGGCGTGTCGGAGAAACGCTGTCTTCCTCTTAGTTCATGGATGATTGAGACAAATTGCAAACTGTAATACTGAAGAACATGATCCTATTTTGCATAATAAGCTTAAGCTGTGTGTGTGCACGTGATTGTGAGAGAGAGAGAGAGAAAGCGAGAGAGAGAAATAGCAACCAAAAAGAGGGAGAGGCAGATTAACCGAGGGCTGAAAGGAATAGTTTAACATTTTGGGAAATAGAATTATTTGTTTTCTTGCTGAGAGTTAGATGAGAAGATCGATGCCACCCTTGTCTGTACGTTAAATATGTAACCACGACCAGCTGCTGGCTAGCTTAGCTTAGCATAAAGACGGGAGGTATCTGTAAAGCTAATTGACCATTGGCTAAGTATCGTCCCTCAAAGGAAGACTGGCCAATCGTAGCGCAGCTCCGTCCAGGGGTCTGACCACTATCCGGCTCTGCTCCATAGACTCTTTCAGATTTCCTTCATTTACAGGTTGCTTTTGTTCATTTGAAACCCCAACTAAGTGGTTTTGTGATGCTCATCAGGTGTAATTATATATGTCCTCGGGTAGAATTCCTTTAAAAGACCATTATGGTTTAGCATATAAGGGAAAGGCAGGACATACCTGGGTCTGAAGGATACTCCTCAACCAGTTTACGGTGAGAGAAACCCTTCCGGTTCTTTTTCTTCAGGATGACGTAGGCCACCAGTCCAATGAGGATCACAGTCAACCCCAGGCCCAATATAGCGACCCACACTCCGTTTCTTTTACTGTTCATGGTGTCTTCTCCCAAACCTTTATTGGAGGAATGTGGGGTCGAGAGGGTGGGAGAGAAAAAATGAATATGTCAACAACAAAATTATTCATATCAACCCGCTGTCTTTGAGGGTTAATTGGCAGATAATTACAGCTGAAATGTGTTTTGGAAAGTGTGTTTCCAGTAGATACACATCCCATTTAGTCAGCTGTACAGATTTGTCTCATTTATGACTCGTTAATTAATGCAATTAACGAGCCGAAATCATGAGGATTTCTTGAATACATTTGAATATTTAAAGACGGCAGGCTGCTCATCATCTCTATGAGGTCAAATGTGACTGAATATTACCATAGTTCACATTATATCACATGACTTTTAATTACATAACTGACTCAGTACTGTGTGTGTGTGTGTGTGTGTGTGTATATATATATATATCTCACTTCTCTACATGTAATTACAGCACGGAGCTAATCATTACCTGCACACGTTAACATCTGTGCTCTCACATTATAACAGCTGTACAGGTGTGGATTTTCTAACCCGCTCTATTCGAACAATTCGTGCTTTAACGTACTGTGAAAACTTGAAGAGCATGGTCTCAAAGTTTATACTTTGCAAAGTGTAATTGTTTTTCTACTCTTCTGTTTCACTGTTTGAGTTCAGGGCAACAGCAGTGGGGGAGGAAAAAAGGCTGTTTCTGAAAGTGACAGAATTGTTTTCAATATCCTTTTGACAAAGAAATACTACATTTGTAGTTTATCAGGACTCGCACATTAATAATTCAGCTGCTCTGTTTATCCACAAATAGCTCAATTGACCCACTTGCTGGGATCAATTTATCCTTAACCTGGGGCAAGTTGAACCTGGAGACCTTTTTCTTTCCCCTTCATTTGAAAGTAGACATAATAAAAATGAGTGGAATTGTTTGTTCTTCGTACTTTCTAGTAATCTTACTCAACTCTCTTTTGAATGTTGGCTTTTGAAATATTTTCTCTCTCTCATGGGAAATTCAGTGAAACAATCTAAATCCCATATCGGCGTTTAAGTTGCTCAATGGATGTGATGTTGGTCTGTCGGACCGCCGCTTTGGTCTGAAATAGCTGAATAACTATTGGATGGATTGCTGTGAAAGTTGGCACATATATCCACCTTCCCCTGAGCATAAATCCTACTGACTTTGGTGATCCTTTGACTTTTTCCCTTATGTCACCATGAGGATATTTATGTTCATCTCAGGATGAATTATAATCATTTTGGTGATTCCCTGACTTGTCATGTCACTCCAAGCTGAGATAAAAAAAATGTGAATGTGACGAATTTGCAGACTCTTAAGGCCTTTACACACCGGCGTAAAACTGAAATGTGAAATACTTGCATGTGAATATTTCACACAAAACTATTCATACCAGCAGTGATGCAGATTTGCCACAGTTACAACACTTTTTGTTTGAAAACAGTTATATGAATAGGGCTTCTATTGTAAAACAAATTAAGAATAGTAGGAGTGGATCTGGTCTGCGCTGCCTTTTGTCTTAAGGAGTAATAAAGTTCCCCCTCTTGGTTCAAACTACTAAGCCTCCATGTTGTATAATATAGTGTGCGTTTTGAATATGTCGATTCCACACAATGTGATTGGTCGATGCCTTAATTCGTGGTGCAAAAGCTCAGACAAACGTGTTTTTGTTGCGTAAGTCCTGTGTGAAACTGCTCATGACAAAAAAAAAAAGAACAGTTTTGAAAAATATATTGACGTAATTTATCACGCAAAAGCCCCCAGTTCACGGAGGCCTTTAGCCTTGTTGTATATTGTACACACAACTATGTGTTGCCCCTTTTCAAACAGCTGGAGTGAGCGGATATTTCTTCCGTATTGATAACCGTGACATTCAAGTTTCCTCTGCTCATATTTATAGACTCTAAAGTTTATCTGTGCTCAACCGTCTGTGCTTTTCTACAGTTTCTTTGTGCACACGCTGTGCCTGTCACGGTAACCATGGAGTTTGGTTCTTTCTGTGTTGCCGGCGCTTTCACAACTGTTTTCCAACTGTTCATTGCCATCATCTCTCAGTGTTATATCCTTGCTGCCACATCTGTCCGTGTGAAGTTTCATTTTACAGTTATCCCAACCTCGCGCCAGCTCTGTGAAGGACTTTTCTTTCTCTCTTTTTTTCTCTTTTGACATGGTGTCGCTAGTTCTCGCCCACGTATCCTTTGCAGGAAAAGTTGCTTGCTAAATAGAAATATTCACACTGCTGATATGAAAAACAGCCTTTTCCAATCACACCTCCTTGATCTCGTGGTTGACACAAAAAGATTAATCTCACGCTCCTGCGCAGAGGCAGCACAAGTATATTTGACCGCAGTCCCTGGCCGCCTCTCTCGGGGGTTTTTCGACACTAAAACAGGGGTTCATTGTCCTGCTAAAAAGGTGGTTGTAATAGACCCCTCCACTCACAGCCGCCACATCGATAGCACCTGAAACCCGATTCAACCTTATCCTTTGAATGAAGGGGCGTTTGTCCTCTGCCGGTGGGAAAATACAGTAGATGCAGGCAAATGTGGGTCGGGGAAAAAAACAAGCAACAGTGATATACGCTCTTGAGCGATGAGCATCGTGTTACTATGAGTCTCTAAAGGTAAACTGTAAAGGATCTTCTGCCTGATCTGCTTGAAATTTAAAAAGTGATGTAACACTGCTAGAAAGACACACAAAGCAGCTTTTATGGTCACAGAAATGTGCACCAGATACTGTGACACCTGAAAACGGCAGCAGTACCTCTTTCTGAGGTGCTCCCGGAGGCTGCATCTGTGTCTGTCCTGTTGGCAATCTCAGGTGTGATCGGAGCGGCGGTGGTTGTAGTCGCAGGGCTCATTTTTGTGGTCTCAGATGGGAACGCCGGTGTGGACGAAGACGTGGCGGATGTCTCGTTCGTCCCTTGCTTCGTTGTGGTTGTTGCAGTTGTCGTGGTGGTAGATTCTGTAGCGTTAGTTGAACGCATTACCTCGTCAGGTTTTGTTGTTGGTTCCTGTGTCGCGTTGCTCCCTGGAGCCAAGGTTGTCGCCTGTAAATCGGTGCGATTGGAGTTATCTGGGAAGATGGTGGAGTTTTGTTCGCTCAGATGAGTCGTGGATATTTGGGAAGTCGTCGTTGTCGAGCTGTGAAATTCCTCCTCGGCTTCTGTCCCGTTGATCCGGCTTGAGTTTGTGGGGACTGTAGTTGCAGTAGTATTTGGAGAAATGGTGGCGTTTGGTTGTTCAGTTTGAAGAGTTGTGGGAGATGATGTAGGAGGCTCGGTGACAGTGCTCGGGTCAGTAGATGTTTCATTTGTATCCTTCTCTTGGCGGGCCACATTCTTCTCTTCTTGAGTATTTGGTATCATGACGTCCGATGCCATCCCATCACCGATGCTAATACGTGAGACCATATCTTCATGCCCCTGATCTTTCTCTGCCTCATCTTCGGAAACTGTAGCGTTTTGACTTCCAGCTGTCTTTTTCGCTAGCTCACGCAGCCAGCTTTTATCAATTGTCCGCCCCGGAGAGTCTGTTGAATCCTGGAGCGATGCCAGGTGAAAAACATGGACAAGCAGAAGGAGGCCTGCTGCGATTTTTAAGCACAGTCCCATTTTCCCCTTTGGTTTCACTCTGAAACACAAGAACATAAAACATTGTTATTTTTCTTGATATTAAGTATATAGTCAATTGTTGAGCAGGTTCAAATTTAACACCTTTTACTGCTTTTATTTCATTATATTATTTATTTATTTACTGTATATATTTATGTTGTTTTTTGTTTTGTTCTTATTGCCAGCCATCTGTTTCCTCGGAGCTGCCCATTCTCTTCCTAGAGCTTCGACAACACTTACAACTAACAAGATGGCCATTTTCTTTTGTACAAGTCAAATAGCCTCAGAAAACAGTCCGTTCTACTCCTTTCCTATGGTCAAGACTCAGTGTGCAACAAGACATCTGTGGTTGTTCTCATTTTCCAGAGGCACAAAATCACCTGCTTTTACAGCTCGGGTCAGCTGCACTGACACCAGTCATGATGGAAACCCTTGAACGACTAATCCTGTTCCACCACCCGTCTGTCAGGGAACTGCTCAGTTGACGTTGCGGTGAACATGGGCCACAGCATCACGAACACGACACCGCCTCTGCTGCTACATCTGGAGCTTGTTGTTGAATTTCAACGCAGTCACCCCTGCATTGTTACACAGCGAGCTACCCACAGTTCAACACGGTCCCAACACCATCTCCGGTGAGAGCTAAATGACAGGGTGAATTTACACGGGTGCCCTGTGAGCTATGCGTTTTCCTCTTGGCTTCACTCCGATACACAAATGTCTGCAGCTCCAGTTATTCCCTGCAGGGCCTTTTCACTGTGAGTCACTTTGGCCTTGTTCAGACTGCCAGCTCAAATCAGTTGTTTGGCATATCCAGATTGATTTTACTAAATCAAATGAACACACAAAATGTGACTTTAGCAAATCGGATCCAAACCAAATTCGGAGGTTTGTAATGTGATTCTTCTGGAATTCAAACAGATGTGTCTCAGTCCGGGCTACAGATGCTACAGGCACGCAAAGGCGTTCATGCTGGAACTATTTGTGACAATCACTTCTAAAAAGCTCAGGCGCCACCAGGTTACAAAAATCGGGTGGTGCTCTACCAAGCGCCGCCACCATCTGGCCCTGATTACGTCATTTTCTGGCCTGCTTCACTGGCGACCACGAACTACGCTTGACTCTCCTGCCACTTTCTGCTGCTTCTCTTTAACATCGCAGTTTATGCTAGCCTCGCCTCTGCCATGCAGATAGGTTGGTGGTGTCTGGATACACAAACCCAATTTGATCACTTGCAAATGACAATGCAGACGGTCTGTCTTAAAGGTCGGATTTGAGAAACAAAAATCTGCAGTCTGAACGTAGCCTAAGTGAATTGATGTCTTTGTTGAAAAGCAGTGGAACAGGCTTCGTCTACAGTGTAATATTGTGGCCTCCAGCAGCTGCAGCACCGATCTCAACACGCAACTCTGTGGATTTCACATTTCTGGTTTCACCAGTCACAACATATTTTAACACGTTCACCAGGGTGCCACTAAATAAAAACAGGCCTAATTTTCTTTTAACTAATCAACCCAAATGGATTGATCATCTCTTTAGGCATTAGAAAATCACAATCTTTTAAAATAGAAGTTGAGTTTTCTGAAACAACTTATCACCAATTGCGCACTACCAAAAAATATAACTGCTGTTCTTAAATAAGTATAAAAAAACATGCAATCATATTGACTGTCAATCAGCCAGGAATGTTCCTCTGTGGTCAGTTTAACAGCTAGCGTGTTTATCGTCCACATATCAGCCACATCTCTGTGTTTTTGTCTTCTCTGTGGGGAATGAATGGTAAACCTGCGGGCTGTTTGTGGTGCAGTCTGCTGTGTGAATGCGGAATCAATCAGACCACTCGAGTTTGCTGCAAATACAAAACGTTTTCATCCCAACTCGTCACATACTGACGCTTGGTCACGACTCATTGGAGTCACTTTCGAGCGCACAATCTATGACGCTCCACTTCGCAGTAAACACGTGGTTAACGTTGTGAATTTGAACAAAACCACTTTAGGTTTTGGAAAAAACATCAAGGTTGGGCTCGAAATAAGTACGTAAACTAAGTCAAACGTAAACAACTTATCATAAGTACGTAAGCCACGTAACTAAAAACTCACCCAACAACACTTTGGGACACGAACACTGGTCTCCTAGTTGGAAGTCCTGTGTTTGTTTGACTCATTCACCTCCACTCCCTCTTGATGGGTTTTTGGTCTTTATACTACGTATAAAGACCACTTCCCCGAGCATTCTCACTGAGCCTCTAATAATAATGCAGAAGGGTTCACATTGTATAGTTGTATAAAGCCTGGTGCGTCTCATAAAGGGCGCCTTGTGCTTCGGTATCAGACGCATTGAGGTGAGACAAAGCTTCAGTATTTGACGCTCTGGGAATTAGAACATGTTGGATAATATGGCACTAAGAGCACATCCCCCAAGATACAATTACAACTTGGAGCTTGTAACACTGCAGCAGTGAAAATAATTAAATAAACAAACCGGTTTGATGAACCTCACCTGGCTGAAAAATTGCTTTTTAACATCCTCAGTGCTCTCAAGTCAAAGGTTATTGTTTTGACTCTTGTGTTGTCAGCAAGAAACTTGTTTTCAGAGCCGTTTCGTGCACAACTTATGGTGAACTAAAGATTACACTTATAAAGACTTGATACTGTACTACGATTTAAATTAGTTCAGTTTCTGTGTTTTGTTCTCAATTGAAACAATACAGCCTGTTGGATTTGCTACAGTTCTAATTCAGCAGATATGACTCGTGGCTATTGCAGTATTTAACGCCATCTGCCACACAACACTGAAAACTGAGTTCTCACAGACAAAAAAAAACGAATTTGTGTGTTTGTACATGCCACTACAGTAACCCTTGAAATGGAGAGCTCTGTGCTGATAACCAGACATTTTTCAGTCATACAATGAATTAAGTTCTTCCCTCTCCCCCCCCAAAGTTATCTTAAATTAAACGAATAAATAAGAATGTTGAAGTGTGAAACCTGAAACCTAACACACACTCTGTATTATGAGAGTCAGGTGTACATGACACAAGTTGAGGTAGAACCAGTATAAGACGCAGCGCTGGAGAGCCACGGGTTGGTTTGATTTGTGTGAATGTGTCAACGGTCAGAGAGGACAAGATTTAAGATCTGACGATAATCAATACGCTTTTATCTAAAAAGCAATGTGTCAGGTCACCTGTTTTCTATTTGAGACAAATGTTACCACCATCATCTGTTTGTTTGGCAAATGTGTACTGTTGAATTTCAAACCAGTGCTTCCTGTTTTGTGTAAACTCTACGCATCATTTCCTGTCAATAATCCAAACATCTTCACATCCGCCATCACGCTGAGCACAGCCGTGTGGAACAACTCTCCACCTGTTTCTTAGAAAATTACGGCAAGCCAAGCGTCCGTCCCGCTGAGAGGCTGTTTGGATGTCAGCATCCCACCAAAAGAGTCTCTGCGGCGCCGCGGGTCGATGTTTACATCCAACCTCTTCGCACTCAGAGAAAAGCCGCCTGTTGAAACGAGTTCCCGCTCTGTTGGTCTGTCGGAGTCTCTACCAGCTCTGTCAGCTGTGACTTAAACACACTGCTATATAGACTCAAAGACAGATGGACTCCCTGCACGCACACACACGCACACACTCTTCCAAGCCCCATGCACGACTCTCATTACCTGACATTTATGTTGCAAATCACTTGATTTGTTTAAAGTTCATCCGTGTTATTATCACCTGTTCTGTCAACTTCGGTATCTGTGTGAGGCTAAATCCCATCAGGGGTGAAAGTAACTAAATACGTCAAATACTGCACAATTTTGAGATACTTGTACTTCCATTTTATGCTTTTTATATACGTTTAATCCCCTGAATTTCACAGTTTCAGACTTTTACTTTTCATCTTATTTTGTTGCTAATATTTCACTTGTACTTTACTTAAATGACGTCAGGCCTTTCACTTTCACTTTTCTTGTATTTTCATAGTGAGGTCTTGCTTTTTAATACTTAAGTGAAGTATCTAAATACTTGGGCTCTTACTGTACTTTTGAGTTTGTATCACTGTAGCTGACTGACACTTGTGTACCTGCATTGCATTGGTTCCCCTGTTTCCGTCATGTAACGTTCTACAGTATGTTTGTCACTTGATGTTATGATGTTTTGGCATCCAGTGACTCTTTTATACTCTCGCGTTGTAACCGAAGGCATTTCTGGTTCTGATATTTCAGCTCTTTCAAAACAGGAAGTGATTATTAAAAAACACCAGGTATAACCAAATTATTGTTAGTTAGTGTTCATGTTACTGTACAAACAATTGTCTTCACAATAAAATATTGATCTAAAAATAGAACAGCAACTTAAATCTTACTAAACATATCTAGACCCCAAAAAACATCACCCATCTCACATTTCCCGAGAAAATTAAACAGACAAAAACCAAATGAAATCCTTTTCTCAGTAAATCCTTACCTTATTCTTAGGCTATATCAGATGAGAACAGGTGCAACTAAATCTCCTCTGAGCTGCCAACGTGTGAGAATGAATCAGCACTCGGCCCGGAGAGACGAGGAGGAGGAGGAGGAGGAGGAGGGCTCAACAGAGTGGCATTGAGGGAACAACCTGCTCAACCTGCTTCTACACCTGCCAGCAGCAGCAACACGCCCTGAAACGCATCCAGTTGCAGTTGCTGTGAAAAGGCCACGCAGGGCCGGGATGGAAAGGACAAAGTGGTCAAGAGAGGGGGATTCATCTGTAACCATCTAAATAAGTTGATTATATTCATCTCAGGGTTGCCAGTTTGCCGGGGTTGCCAGGTTAGATCTGTTAATTCCCCCCAGTGGGTGGAGCCTCTATCCACAGGTCCTCTGAGCTCTATTCTGTTTTGTTTTGTTGCTTTTTTATTCTCACCGAGGCACTGAAAACGGCTGCTGTCGTCATGGCAACAGAAAGGAAGCTGGCGAGCTCGGGTTTCATCCACGCCTTTTGTCTCGTGGTCTATATCAGGCCACCGAGTGATGTGGGACCTTGTGAACTCTCAGGTATACTGTTCAAGCGAGTCTGGTTTGTTTTTTCTTTGTGTTGGTCTCATTCCTCTGTTAGCTGAGTCACGCAGCCGCTTAATCTGAGCGGACCAGAGCGGCGCATGAAGTGGCACTCAAGGCCGATGTGCTTCTGTGAGTTAAGAGCAAGGACTGGTTGTACTTGTTTTACTGATGAATCTGAAAGTAAAAAAAAGAAATAAAGTCTCAAAAGAGAACCTCAACGTTCAGTAGATGTGAGAGCAGGACTTTTTGGGTCAAGTGTCCCGGTAAGAACAGTGTGACCGTGAGCCAGCACGCACAACAACAGGAGCCTGAGACTGAAGCAGCTAAATGGAATTCAGCCATCATTATTTTGTTATTGTGTTCCTTCTGTGACATGTCAAAATGTCCCAAGTCGTTTTTTTCACTGCTGACTTTCCTTTGTCATATGTGTTCATCGACTAAATTATTTTTGTATGTCACATTTCAATTTGGTTTTTACTCACTTGACCAGGAATTTAGAAATACTTCAGTCATCGGTCCCCTTCAACCTCTTTCTGGCACTCTTGACTCTTTGACCAGAAACCCATATTGTTTTTCAATAATCTCAATTTTTTTACATTTTGTTTATTGGTTAATCGATCAATCAGTCAATTTTGCCGTCCAAGCTTGTTTCAATGCTTTCTCCGCGCTCTCAGGAATTAAAATCCTGGGGAGAAATGCCAAACCCTTTCTTTATTATTTACTTTTTTATTCTTTTATTGGCCTAACCAATGTGAAAATTAAAACATTAAGTAATAAAAACACTGTGTTGGAGCCATAATGTGGTTTTGTTGTTTTCTTATGTCTTTGAGGGAAACATGGGGTATGTACACATGCAGTTCTGACATTGAACAGTGGGTGGCACATTAACCTAAAAGTGCATATATGTAAGTGCCTGGTAATGAGGATCAGGTGTGTGTGGACGGGAAGCTAACAGTTTTTGACCGTGTCAACGTGTCAAGGTTTCGTGTCAATGTAGCGTGTCAGCCGGCATATGAGCTTGTAGTTTCAAGGTCTTATAGTATCCTGTAAAGTAACCTGTGGTACTCTGTTAAGGTGTCAATATGCATACGAGTAAATGGATCAACGGATCGAAAGCCAGACAGCGCATTGGACAGTGAAATGTTTGTGGAACACGCGTCCGAACAAGTTCTCCCGTTCGCCCCCCAGTGGCTTTAAGATATAAAATGGATATTTGGTGAAGTCACTACACACTGTAATCAGCTCATAAAATACCCACCGTGTGTACAATTTTATTTGTAGAATGTAAAATCTTTCCAGTTTACAGGGTTGGAGATGTTGCTTCTCCTTGTAAAGCAAAATGTAAAGCATATTGGACCAAAGCACCATAGAAATGTAATCCAATTTACCATAATAAAGACCAAAGAAAAATGAAAATATATGAATAAAATAACCTCAGTATTCTCGGTTGAAGCTATGTCTCTGACCTCAGGACTGCTCCACAAAAACCTTCCCATTCATGCCCAGACAGACGTCTGCGTTGTTATCGTAACCAAATGACATTTATCCTAAATAGAGCAGTGACGGTGTCATCGTTCGGAGTTCAACTGTTCCGCTGCCATAAATGAGGCTCACTGTCACTGAAGCACACAGAGTTCCTCACACACAGCTTGTCGCTGGCACCTCACGTGGCCTGCCAGTGTTCGGAGCTAATGGGATCGTGTAGCCTCATCAGGGACGTGAATAATGGAAGTGTCTAAATCTTGAACGGAGGATAAACAGGCCTCAGACTTCAGTGTGAAACAAAGGTGTTCAAAAGCCATGAAAAAGTAAAAAGGTGGGGCACTTTGAAACCCCGATAAATACATTATGAAGAGCTTCATAACGGCAGCATAGCACATTTATGAATACTGATGATTCAAGTTCTGTGTCCGCCTAGTTTAGTTTTAGTTTTGTTTTTGGCAGTAACACTGCAGTGACGGAGGATCTGAATCTGTAGATCTGAGGTCATAACGAGGTCATTATCAGGATTGCAGTGATGGTGGGGATTCAAATTAGCATGCAGGAAATGATACAGCCATTTTCCTTTCAAGACCACTTTTACCTGACCTCAGTGGAAAATTGCATTGGGTGAAAAATAAAAGACGTAAACAGAGGCCACCACGGTGATGAGAGAATATCTGACAAAACTAGACGAGGCCTCGTTGATTTATGATGTTTTTCAGAATTGTTTTATAATTGTATAAAAGCTTGTAGTTAACAGGAAAGGACAAGTAAAGAAAATAAAATAGAGTGCTGACAATAAACATTAGGGTGAGACAAAATAAATATTAGCATAACAAAGAGTTAAATTAAAGCCCATGTGGAGGTATTATTATTATACATTTCTGACTTTGGTGACTTCTATTAGTAAAAGAGAAATAAGACACACAACTGGAATATTTGTATTTCCTGAAGAAAATGTGTCGCAAAAAGAAGTCAGATTGTATAGAAGTCTATGAGAAAATGACTCTACTTCTCTCTTGATTTATTACCTCAGTAAACATTGTAAACATGAGTTTATGGTCTCAATCTCTAGTTTCAAGTCTTCTTCAATACAGCATGATGTTCATTTAGTACATTATGGTCCATTTAGAGTCAAACAGACCATAAAGCAGGGGATGCTTTAGGGCGGGGCTACACAGTGATTGACAGGTCGCTGCTGCTACCAGAGCCGAATACGGCGTCTCTACGTCACTCCTCCTCATTCCAAATATTGTTCATTTATTTTTATTTTTTTTAAACAAAATGTCGACGGCCGTTTTCCAAGACGGTGATGGCAAAATTGCCAAAATCAAAGCTTTAAAACGTCGGTCCACAAACCAACGGGTGACGTCACGATGACTATGTCCACTTTTATATATACAGTCTGTGGTTTTAATGTTACTGTAGCGCCGCCTGTTGGTAGAATTGTATGAGATTTAGGATATAGCAAGAGTTATGGCCTGTTTAATGCATCCCGCCAAGCCTTTAAAAGTGTGGTAGCCAAATACAAACAAACGATAAGTAATACTCAAAAACAAAACTATTTGAATTTAGAAAGTTTGGTGAAGCCTTGGTGAAATATGAGCCAAAACCAGCAAAACTAAATGTGCAATATTGTTTTTCCTTACGCCTCACGGTTCATGAAGTCATAACATAAAACACGAACGAACCGACTACTTGGTGGCACTATTGAATACATGAGAACACGTTGAGCATACCTTCATGGGGCACCTGTATATCAAGTATGATTACAAATAATTTCAGTCAAATATTCATACCTCAATAACTAAGATATCAAAAAGTACAACAGTCCTCATGAGGTACAGAAAGTCAATGATACTTGAGTGAGAGAGAATTGGAATGTGTCCATCTACAAAAATTTCTTGCAGCAATCACACTAAGTTTATGATCGAGAGCATATTTGCATATTTGGTTTTAGTCATTTGTGTGATTTTATTGAAAGCTGTAGCTGCTTAAAATAGCTAAAGTAAAGAGTAAAACATGAACAAATAAGGTTTGTATTTAATCCATCTTAACCTGTTAATTAAATGTTAATAATGTGCAGCATGCAGATAAAAATGTTTTCACAAAAAACACAATGTGAAATACGCTTTTATTCAAAAGAGACGGACTGAAAAGAAAAAAGCATTGAATCATCAGACCGTACAGTACCGCCTCTCTTTTCCTAAAGGATGGTGCGTTTTCTGGGATAAATGAAAGGAAGCATGCGTCCTCTTCATCTGGAGGATTTAACGAGCGTCACGTACCATAGATACGTGTACGTAAATAAAACCAGTCAGGAGCCTGGTTCGTTAAAAAAAGACTTGTAGAGTGAATAACGAGGGTGGAAATAGGGTTTTCCATTTAAATATATCTGGATCATTCAGCTGCTCATTCATATGTATTGCTCATTCACGCACACGAGACACAGAATTCTCTCATTCATCCGTGCATTAATGTTTTAACAAAAAGTTCCATTTGATGTTGAATAGCAATATGCTGTTTGCGTGCTCGCATGCAGAATCAGTAGAATCAAACAGACTGCATGTAATGAAACAGATGATGTAGAGTAGAAAATCTAGAAAATCATGATGTGGAAACATAATATTTGTGAGGTCTTCACTCGACAACACGTATATATGTATATGCTCAGTTTGAGAATTCAGGGATATCATTTTTTCACTCTGGTATCTCGCTAAACAACATATCCACGAACTACGGTTCGTATGATATCTTACAAAAAGTGTCTCCTCATTTATTGTGCATTGTCCTACGAAGCCAGCAACATGTGTCTATTTTCACTCGTTAGATGCGTATAGTCTTTTCAGAATGAACTCTGTTAGCTCTGTCAGCACTGTAAGCTGCAAACCATCACCATGTTGAGAGCCGTTGGGAAGCAATGGAAATGCTCCCAATCTCAATAACACCTTCTAATATGTGTGGACGTAGATGAGATTTTTTTTTACAGATCTGAGGCAGCAGACGAGTCAATTTTGGGAAATGGCTGCGA